TATCTGAATGTCTCCATGACAATGAGGCTGCCTCTGATTCTTATCATTAGGATATTATGCAGACTAGTTAATAATGTTTACAGAGTGGTTTGAATTCTAAAATACATACTAAATAAATATCAAATGTGAGGTGTGTTCGCTTCAAGAAACCAGCGCTTTAGCATATTCAGAAACAAGAGGCTTGGATGAGACAAATTCAGACTTCACCAATGCCACAGTTCCTGCATCAACTTACTTCCTGCTGTTACCATTTTTTCAACAAGACACGATGTGGGAAACAAGGCTATTATTTCTTATATATTTGTGACAGATTCTTATTTGTACTTTTTAGCCCACAAGAAAACAAATATTTCACACAATGTTGGAATTTAATAAATATGCAGTTTATGAATTTTGTGGGCATACTTTGAAATTTCACAGTTGTGCTGGAGAGCTCTCCTTTCCAACTACATACACTATTTTTGCAGCAAACCAGCAACCATCCTATGTTCTTTTTTTAAATATATTTTTTATATTGATTTCAGAGAAGAAGGGAGGGGGAAAGAGAGATAGAAACATCAATGATGAGAGAAAATCACTATCAGCTGCCTCCTGCATGCCCCCCATTGGGAACCGAGCCCACAACCCGGGCATGTGCCCCTGACTGGAATCGAACCTGGGATCTTTCAGTCCGCAGGCTGATGCTCTCGCCACTGAGCCAAACCAGCCAGGGCAGCCATCCTATGTTCCCAATGCCAATGTGGTGTCTGAAAGGTAAATCTGCATTGGGTGAAGGATGCCCTAGAAGGCCCGGAGGACAAAGGCCAGGGACTGGAGCTTGGTCATGACAGAAAAGGCAGTGCTATGAGCCAGGGCAGAGACATGAGTACTGGGGAGGTAAGGAAGGCCAGACAGCCAGGAAGAGGCCAATGACAACCGGCAAGGAGCGCAGAGTGCAGGAGTGGGGACTTGGGAGCTATCTGGAAATCTGCTCCCACGTGGAAGAGAACTGCTGTCTGAAGGACCAGAGGGAAGCAGCTGTGGCTCACTGGGATCTGAGGAAGAGAAATCAGGCAGAAGGAAGACTTGTCCTAAACAGGAGCTGGACTTGCTAAATCAGTCCTTTCTTTTGCTCAACGGTGAATCACTTATGCACCAAGCTTATCTTTGGATACTTTATTATACTATGAAGTATAAGTTATATACTTAGAAAGGACCTTGGAAGCCATCTAGTGATCTAGGAACACAATGGCTGAATAAATGATGATGCTGATTACCCATTAAGGGCCAAAGGAGGATGGGAAAGGTCCCTGAAGAGGGTAGGGGAAGGGCCCAGTTTACCACAGCTGTAGCCAAAGGAAGGAATATCCCTCAGATGATGGTGGCAAAAATGAAGCAGCCTTTAATTATTTGGAAATGACAACACAGACTAATAGAGTCCACATTTCTCTCTTTCCATCTGGAGACAACCTACTTTATCATTCAGTGGAAGTCAATGTAGGAAAATGAAAGCATCTCAAAGCCAAAAGAGAATTAGAAGCCATGCGCATTCAGATGAGAAGAAATGAACTAGCTTGAGAAAACTGACCCTGGCTGAGGCAGCGACCCTGGTGGAAGGACGACTCCTTAGGAGACAGCCACCTGGGCTGAGCAAAGGTGCCCTTCCTTGTGGTCCTGGGATGTTTGCTCTCGTCTGAGTTGGACTTAAATTCGAGTTTCATTTGGGTTAACAAATAATGTCTTTTAAAAATGTAAATCTCTCTAGGATGGGTAAAGAATTGTGACTCATACACTTGTGTGGATTAATGCCATGCAGGTGATTATTTAAATGTTTAACACAGCTATAGTAGGGGCAGTGACCAGTATTGGGTCAAAGCAGAGCCCGAGGGGCCCCGTGCTGCCGGGTCACAGAGGTCCCTGAGACCCCGTAGTGAGGTGAGGGCCTACACACAGGAGGGGACTGAGGAAGTGGCTAGTTACCAACCATCACCCAAATATTTGATATTTAACAACCAGCACACTTCTGGTATATGCTGGTAGAACACCATCCTGATTCCACAGATCTTTTCATCCTAATAGCTGGGTTATGTAACAGAAAGAGGATTCTGATGAAGAAAGGAGGAGAGGGAGATAGAGATGATACCATTCTGAAGGGCAGTGAACACCAGGGGAGAAAGAAGGCAGGAAATATAAAAATGAATAGAAATATTTTATCCACAAAAATTTTCTCTCCTTTCCCTCCTCCTCTTCGTCCTAACCACAGGCCTCCTGTCCCCAGGGCCCCTCATCATACTAAAGTTAGGCTCCAGGTCAGTTCCCTGAAGACCAATCTGTCACACTGACCATATTTATTGGTTTTCCAAAAATCATTCATAGACTTCACATCTTTTGAATGTGTTGGGCTGGCAGGGGTAAGAAGACTGGGAGCTGGGGACCCGGGGGACTTGAGCCTCCTGGCTCTCTTCCTGCCCCAGTCTATCCTCTTTGCCCTCAGGCTCACCCTCTGCTCCTGGTCTTCTCCCGGGGAGCCCCTCCGCCTCCCCTTCTCCAGGGCTGAGGCCGGAGCCGAGCCGTGCGCTGACTAACACACGCAGTCTGTCCTTCGCAGGGGAAGGCCTGTTCTCTGCCCCAGCTCCGACCTCCTGCCGCAGCCGCGGAGCACTGGCGCGGAGATAAAACGAACATTCCTTAAAATGCTGACACCGCCAAAATAGTCACAAGCTGTTCAAAGCCATCTAATTAGAACTGTTACAAACTTTCCAGTTAAACACGTGTTTGTTTGGTTTTTAATGACAATTGACAAATTTAGTTAATTTGGCAAAGCTTAATTAACAAAAGTAGAAATAGCCTAAAATGCCAAATGTAGGAAAAAATTTTAAAAGGATTTTTAAAAAGGATCAGAAAGAAATCCGTATAAATAGAAAAATTCCCATAGGAAATGCTGATTTTGGCAACATTCAGAAGAAAAATATGTTTGTCAGTGGACTAAATTTTTTTAGGACCTTTCAACAAATTGAACATTTCTTAAAAATGCATGTAAAGAGAAGTGCTAAGTGGCATTCCCACCTAAAGTCATTCAAGCACATTTCACATGCGGGCCCGAAAAACCAAACAAATACATAGCAAGACAAATGGTCTGTTATAAGGTTCCGATTCACACACATCCTCCCTTATCCACGGGGACACGTTCCAAGATCCCCAGTGGATGCCTGGAACCGAGGACAGCACCAAGCCCTCTACGCACTATGTTCTTCTACACATACCTTTTCACGTAAAGGAAGCACTTTCCGGCTCCTCTTTGGCATATCTGAATGGCTGGCATCACTACTCTTGTGCTCTGGGGCCATTATTAGGTAAAAGAAGGGTGACTTGAACACAAGCCCTGCAATACTGGGACAGTCAATCTGATAATCCTAATGGCTACTAAGTGACTAATGGGCAGGCATATATAATGTGGAGACAAAGGGATGATTGATGTCCTGGTGGACTGGAGGAGAATGGCAGGAGATTTCATCATGCTACTCAGAACGGCGGCACAATCTAACATTGTCTACTTTTGGAATTTTCCATTTAGTACTTTTGGACAACTCTTGACCATGGGTAACTGAAACATGGTGGCACAATCTAACACTTAGGAATTGTCTACTTTTGGAATTTTCCATTTAATACTTTTGGACAACTCTTGACCATGGGTAACTGAAACAGTGGAAAGCAAGCCTGCAGGTACGTGGGCAGAATGCTCTACGATACCACATGTGCCAGGCACTGTAAAACCTGTGCAAGGTAACAGTAACCTACGAGAGACAAGCACCTAACTCAGGAAAGCAAGCTTCGGTCAGGGTGACATATATTTATCTTCAGATACACATGAACTCAATAAACATGTGTATATGTGTGTCAAATGTCAAATTCTTAATACTTGTCATAGAAATGAACTTTAAACATATTTCAATAGTTAGGGTATTTTAGAGAAAGGACAACTACAAATAATAGTTATATTTTTATTGTTTGAATTATATATTTTTTCAATACTTAGAATACTTGGTTTTTAATTGACCAAAATATAATGTAATAAACACTATTAAAAGGAGTTGTTTAATTTAAAAAAATTCTTACAGTCCTAGCTGGTTTGGCTCAGTGGATAAAGCATCAACCTGCGGACCAAAAGGTCCCAGGTTCAATTCCAGTCAAAGGCATATGCCCGAGTTGCGGGCTCGATCCCCAGAGGGGAGCGTGCAGGAGGCAGCCAATCAATGATTCTCCCTCATCATTGATGTTTCTATTTCTCTCTCCCTCTCCCTTACTCTATGAAATTAATTTTAAAAATATACATATCTATATATCTATGTGTGTATAAATATATATACATATATATATAAAATTCTTATATAAAGGATTCTTTTTTTTTTTTTAGCAACATTTGACAGAATGGCATTCTAGCATCCTAGAAAAAAAAAACTAATCCTGCAAATAAGATACATAAAAATTTAGAAAGGTTCCACATAAAAATATTATGTTTTTATGGAACTAAACTTTATATTAAATTTTTAAATTTGCACTTTGAAAAAACATGTATAGACTTTAATTTTATTCTTATAATTTCTGATCAACTCTTCCAAAATTTAAAATTAAACTCCCATAATTCTCATACCATATTGCCCCCAAAGGGGTCTGTAACTTGCTTATGTTACATTTTGTGGCAAATTTAATACATCTTTCCCAACCCTCAGGGTCATAAAGACAGCCTCCTGTATTTTCCTCTGAAGTTGGATTCTACTTAACTTGTTTTTCTAAGGAACTGAACAGTGAGGCACTGATATTGACTGTTGGAAGATACAAGCCACGGCTGCAGCCTCCTTCCATCTGTTATTTTTTGGTTCTAAGCAGTTTTTCAGCTTTATGTGGAGGCTAGCTTTCAATAGCACAAATAACTGAAGATTGCTATTTAAAACAACATACAATAAAGTTATAGTTTCAGGATATTAAAAAATAGAAAAGGATAAGTCATATAATCGTCTTACGTGAGTGAACAAAACTTCATCCCTGAGCTCCTCCGAACTCTCATTGGGAGTCCAAGCTTCAGCAAACTGCAGGAAATCCCATTTTTCCTTCTCCCCTTCCTCAGCCTGAAGTCGCTCCTTCCTACCGTTCAATGTGCTCCCGGTAACCTGCGCCTGTAGGAGGGAGAAGCAGTGACCTTCGTAACATTCGCCTCACTGCTGATATTTGCTAAGCAATACCTTGATTTTGCATTTGAATGACAATCCATTAAAGAAAATCATATTGCTTCAACATATCATGTGCTGTAGTCATATAATTATTCAAAATCACAACCAAATTACTAGGTTTCACTAGACAAATTATCTTATTGGCTTTTCTCATAAAAACTTTTATTCTAATATTTATAAACTTTTGAACCTACATATGAATGGCCATTTTGAATATCTATACTCAGTGCTTGAAAACTATCTTCTAATCTTTAGTCAAATCCTTTCTATAAACATTCCGCAAGGTTGGGAGAAGAAACAGCTCAGGGGACAGAGCAAGCAATGTCCCTCCTACCTTTTCTAGAGTCTGGGTGCAGGGTGTCCTCTATCCAATATTAGCTCTGGATTCAAGAATCCTTCAGGGAAAGGGTTTATTCTTTACTTATGAAAAAGACTTGGTGCTTGAAAGCATTATGGTTCCTTGCTAGCTATCCCTCTCCTCTAGCCTCTAAAGTGGTAGAAGGGCGTGAATACAATAGGAATACACGTAAATCCATGCCTGTCTCTATTACAAAGGATAGCAGGTACGGTACTACCTTTTCTATTATCATCAGTATCTTAGTGTACTTAGGTATCCTTTGCCTGAAAACACTAAAACTCGTCCTCTTAACCCATGTAGACTATGGGTAACCGTAAGCTGGGAACCTGGTTTAAACTCAAGCCTTACCTTGCGATTCAACATTCCCCACATGAGGGTGTCCAGAGTCCCATTTGCAATGAGGTAGTGAATATTCACAGAACTGCATTGTCCAATTCGGTGAGCACGGTCTTCTGCTTGCTTTATATGCCCAGGGTCCCAGTACAACTCAGCAAATACAACGTGAGTGGCAGCAGTAAATGTCAAACCCTTAGCAAAATAAAGTGAAGAAACCAAGATGTAACTAAACTGAGAATATAAAATAGAGCCATGTGTAATAGTCTTTCTGAACACATTAAATGGAGAAGAGAACGCAGAAGGACTTAAAAACAGATCAGTTTTTCATACTAAGCCAAATTAAGAAAATATAATTCATGAAAGGCAGATGAAGACTGCTTACTGCAAGACAGCCGGGTGAACTACAAAATACACATTCAAAATGTATTTCCATATTTCAAAAGTCAGCTTGGTGGACACACACACACAGAATTACTTTATCGTCTGATGAGGACTGGATTCACATTACCACTGTAAAATCTAATAAAATACATTATAAATGAGAAGATAATTTCTAACACATGGTATCCATAGCAACTAGGAGAAAGAAATGACATCCTCTGTTCACTTAATTCATACTGCTGTTCTATAAAGCAAGAAAATCATGTCTCCAGTCGTACTGTTCTCTTCCTGTGAAATTTCTTATGTTACATTCCAAAGGCTCTGAAGTCTACTAGCTTGTTTCTCAATATATATAACACAATTTCATTTTTTATGCAATTGCACTTTACATCAGTTTGAAATAGTGCAACATTAAAACTATTAACTGTCTTGTTTTATAGATAATATATGAAATAAACAAATCTCCTCAAACTAAAAGTGAGTAAAAAATGCATGATGTTAGAGTTGGCAGGCTGAGTGAACTGCGACCCCTGCTTATGCTACTGCCACAGGCAGGTGGTCGACAGAAACACCTGCTGTCCTTTGAGAGTGTCATCCAATCCATGCTGATGTTCACATGCACTGGAACTTGGAGGGAGGGACTCTTATGACTGCTGTATTGTTATTTTGACATGTGATTTTAACTTAAACTATTTTTATATCTCATAACAACATCATGCTAACCTTCATTCAACAGCGGCATTAGTTCTCAAGCTGAAAAATTCACTGAGGATCAATCACTATGGAACAGAAGTTAGAAGTAATAAAAATATGGAGAGAGCCAAACCACCACCATGCTAACCTGTGCTGCTGTTTAGGACAGGGAATGCCACAAAATATTAGTGATGATGTCGAAAAATAAGAAGTCGTATTTAAAGAGGGGCACCTTTAAGCATGTACAAAGTGTCATGTGACCGTATAAAAATGAAGGAGGAGCATGCTGGCAGGCTCAGCATCCCTCTAAGACACTTCTAAACTACAACGGAAGATTCACACACCCCGAGAGCAATGCTCTTTCTACTTTCCTTTCTTTCTATGAAGATACCGTGTCCACGTACATGAGTTTTGAATTATGCAAGGTCTTCGGGAATACAGCCTAGAACAGTGGTTCTCAACTTGTGGGTCGCGACCCCTTTGGGGGTCGAACGACCCTTTCACAGGGGTCGCCTAAGACCATCGGAAAACACATATATAATTACACATTGTTTTTGTGATTAATCACTATGCTTTAATTATGTTCAATTTGTAACAATGAAATTGGGGGTCACCACAACATGAGGAACTGTATTAAAGGGTCGCGGCATTAGGAAGGTTGAGAACCACTGGCCTAGAATATCATGTGAGTGCGCTGTGCAATCTTAACTCAAAGTGTTTTCTCAGGCCACTCCTAAGCTATCCTGCCTGGCTCCGCCTACATTGCTTCTCCCATACTACAAGCACTCCATTTCTAATTTTAAGCTTTTTGGTGATATTTTCTATGTCTGGAATATTCTAACATAGAAAACTCAGATTACTGGAAATTTAATCCAACATGATCATGGAAGTGTTGAGACAATCATCCTTTGGGTTAGAATTCCTAGTGAGTTCTAGAATCATCTGGGTAAATCCTCATGGAGTTTCTATACACACATTTGTTTGCTGGGTAAAAGCAGATCTTTGGCTCTGGTTCAGATTCAAGTCCTCGGAAGATGCCAGATAGACATACACCAGGTTGGACGCACAGCTATTTATTCAATTACTTTTCCAGATGTTAAATATCGTGGCTTAGACATTTATATTGAAGTATTTCAGAATATTAGTAGAAAAAAAATCCAGAAGGCTCCCCTCTTCTACAGTGTGGCAGAGACTGCTACTGCCTTCCCCAGTACCTATTCTTGTCTTATTCCTTTGCAAAGTAACACCTGACTTTTAGCACCTGGAAAAAAGGCTACTTTTCCCAGCCTGCCTTTCAGCGGCTAGTTGTGGCCATGGGACTGACCACAGGCTGGTGAGAGGTAGCATGCCTCTCTCCAGCCAGCTGTCTGGATGGCAGCTCTGCAGAGGCTCGAGCAGCCCTCTTAGGAAAGGGAGACCTGCTATGAGTGGTGAAGAAGAAAGCCATGCTAGCCTTGGACTGTCTACATGAGAGAACAAAGTATTTAAGTCTTTTTTAATAAGGGTTTCCATTTATTTGCAGGCAAACATAATTATATATATATATTGATTTCAGAGAGGAAGGGAGAGGGAGAGAGAGATAGAACCACCAATGAGGAGAGAAAATCATTGATTGGCTGCCTCCTGCATGCCCCCCACTGGAGATCGAGCCAACAACCTGGGCATGTGCCCTGACTATCAAACCTTGACCTCCTGGTTCATAGGTTGATGCTCAACCACTGAGCCACGCCAGCCGGGTGCCAAATGTAATTCTAAGGACCAAACCAGGGGCACGCCATACAAAGTTCTCAGAAACAGAGTTCTTATTCCTCAGGCCATCTTACCTTATGGACTCGGAGGGAAATAACCAAGTAAGATAAATTCTATAGGAAAGGGATGAGAAAATTCCAGACAAATTCAAAGGAAGGAAAAACAGTCATGAAACAGTATTACAATCAAATATACTATATTATTCTAAAAAATTCTTCCCTTGAAAATTTAGGAAGATTTCAGTCAGCGGTGTTGAGGTCTCCTATTATACTTTCCAGCACTCTCCAACATAGAATGAACAATGATCACACTAGATATCAGGTATAAAGTTATCACTATAAGTAATGGCCTTTTTATGATTTCAAAGACATTTTATTATCAAGTTGAGACCTGAAATTTCTTACCTGACCAGCAGCCTGAATGCTTAGGATAGCCACACGGGTCTCAGGATCCTTTTGAAATTGATTAACCAGATGTATTCTTTCTGAAGACGGAACACTTCCATCTATCCTAACATATCGAGTCTAGCATTAACAAAGGAAACGGCAAAATTAGGACAAGCCCGTATGTACCCATCTTATTTTATATACTTTACAGCTTATTTTTATATTCACATAATAAAATAGAAACTGGTTAAGATGACAGGTTGGTAAATATCATACAAGAAGAATCTTAACCAAATTTCTTAATAGCTTCTGATAACAATTTTGTTTTTTATTGAGTTTTATTTTCAAGATTAAAAACAATTTATTCATTTTTAGAGAGAGGAAAGGCAAGAGAGAGAGAGAGATCAATTAGTGGCCTCCCATATGGGGATGGAACCCAAAACCTGGGTATGTGCCCTGACCGGGAATCGAACCCACTACCTTTTGGTGTATGGGACGACGCTTCAACCAACTGAGCCACACCAGCTAGGGCCTAGCAATGATATATTTTTTAATCTTTTAAGCTACTTGAGGGTAGGAGCTATGTCTAATTCATCTTTATACATCATTGCCAAGTGCAATGCCTGTATGTAACAGGAGTTCCATAAATCATGACTGAATTACTAATGTGTTCTCAGTAAAATTCCATGTAAATTAATATGCCAATTTTCAATTGAATAATGTATCAGAATAACTTTCTAGTTATAGGACCACTAACTCCAGAGTAAAAGTAAAATCAGACATGCAAGAAAGGAAATAGAGCATTCTGCCCATGTATTAGAAATTCATGAAAAGCAGTACATCTATTTCTGAAATATCCCAATATTAACTGGGAAAATATCTTTTTTAATGCACCATTTGAGTTCTCTTTTTTCACATTATTAAACTTAAAAGAAATATGCATCTCCATTGAGGTGGGGAACAAGACATGCACCCATGTTTTTAAGAAGCAGGGAAACATTAAGTGCCTAACTGAACAGTTTTGAGTTTTAAGAATGATGTGAGTTGAGAAAAGGAAGCAATCCTGTGTTAGTACAGCTAAAAATAACTTATTTCTCGACTTTGTAAAACAAGTATAAGCCCTTAGTTTCAAATAATCTCATATGTATGTGCACTTTTATGGAAAACATAGTCTTAAATAGTTGAGACAGAAATATTCACTTATATAAGAAGACAGTCAAGTTAATCACTAAATAGAATGTCCCTTATTAACTTTTTCTGTCTTCACAAAACAGATATAAATTGACCAGTGATCCATTTACTATCCATTAGGGAGATTATAAAATCTTCAGAGAGTCTTTCTAAAGTAAACACATTGTTTTGAGCAGTTCACCTCCAACACCAGGATACCTCCATTTTTCATTCTTAGTGATGTAAATGGGATTCTAAATCCACCAGTAAAGCAGCAGTGAGGAACTCTGTCTTCACAAAACAGATACAAATTGACTAGTGATCCATTTACTATCCATTAGGGAGATTATAAAACCTTCAGAGAGTCTTTCTAAAGAAAACACATTGTTTTGAGCAGTTCACCTCCAATACCAGGATACCTACATTTTTATTCTTAGTGATGTAAGTGGGATTCTAAATCCACCAGTAAAGCAGCAGTGAGGAAAAGAAGCAGACCGCTCCTCTTGGAATAGATTCCAGTATTTTAAGGTATAATGGAATCCGAATAAGAAAATACTGTGAGTCTAATATTAAGGCCCAATCATTTCAAAGTTGTTTGTAAGGTTCACTCTCCCTCAGAAGGTGTTTTACAGTCACTAAGAGGTAATCAATGAGAAAGTACCTTTCAAAGTACAGCACTTTATTATCATCAATCTTTCAATGAAGAAAACACTGACATTACTTGTTGGGTAATAATGAATTAATAATGATAAATCTATAGTGTACAAAGTAATAAAAATATGGCTTTATTCCTCCGCTTAAAAAAAATCTACCTACACAGGCGAGAAGTTCTGCTGCTATGCGTCTATCGAGCTCACAGTTTGTCAGGAGGTTTTATCTGGCTGCTTCTGAGCATCGCCAGAAGCCCTCGCACAGAAAGGGACGGCAGGTTTCAACTTTGGAAGAAAAAATGGGAGATGCTGCCACTGACAGAACAGTTGGGGAACAAGGTGGGCCTCAGAACCCTGCAGGAAGGCCAGCACGCTTGCTGGAGCTTACCTGGTGGACTGCCTGGCCCTAAGCTATAGATTCACTTACACTAAGTCTTCGTAATCATATTCTATAGAGTATGCTGCCTGGAGTTTGAAAGGTCTAACTATAGCTGGGCACAAAAATCAGCGTAATTCATCCTTCCTGTCCCCTCGACGTCTCCCCCATTCCAGGGGTGCCTTTCGGGTAAACAAAAAATTTAACTTTTAACTGCCTCAATCTCAAATGGTACATCCATGAACAAAAACTAAATTCAGAACATAGACTATTAAAGCAGCATACTTTAATCAATTCAGATCATTTGATTAGTGGAAAATTATGAGACTGGTATAAAAGGTAAACTTTAATAGGATACCATCATCACAATAGTAATATAATATCAGGATAATTTTTAAGAAAAATATCTAATACTAATTTATATACCATCATGTAAAACAGGCAAAAAAAAAAAACAACAAAAAAAAACAACCCTCAATTATAAGACAACTGACGCATCCTGAAAGTACTTTATAGACAAATGGTAACATACCTTGTTTTCTATGACTGCTTCTGTGCAAGCCTGGAGCATGAGTAAGTGGTGAGCGAAAACCAGAAATTTAAGCGAATCGTTCTGAAGCATCATCTTAATATAATCCTTTACAGCACCTGCCTAAATATTAAAGTTAAACCTTATTCTTATTGACGTCATAAAAATGTTTATTAAAAGTCATTTTACTTTCTTTTAATAAATCAAAAAACTCAAACATTGATACATTTTTATGAATTTCTAACTGCTTTGTGTTCTAAGTAGCATAAGGAAATAGAAGCTTACATATAATAGTGAGTGGGAGAAAAGGGACAAAAGAGGAAAAAGAATATATTCTTGTTGAGGAAAGAAGAATATAAGAATTAGCAGGAAGAAAAAGATGACAAAAGAGTTTAGGTGGAAAGTAGGCTCTGGCCAAGAAGAGGTTGGTGGTTTTTTTCTGAGGGTAATTTCAAAAAAGTTCATATACAAGACTAAGTGGAATAGAGTTAAGAAGAAAATGAAAGGTAAAAAATTAGATGAATAGCATTATTTTATTTTTTTTAAAAAAAGGAAGACTAGAAAAGAATGAGAAAGCTGGGACTGAAGCTTAACGATTATGAAAAGTTGGTTTATGCATTGTTTAAGCTAAAAAGTTAAGTAGATTTACAAATAGGGCACTTTAGGGAGAAATGGAAAATGAGAGGCTTCAGTTGGTCTTCAGGATGAAGAAGGTCACAGAAAAGGCTGGAGTAATGAGATTAAGAGTACAGAAGGGAGGTCTGAGAGAGCAGGGAGATACAAAGAAATTGGTGGGTAGAAAAGGAAAAAATTTTAAAAAGTGCAAATTGAATAGGCTTTTCTTAGTTAACAGGAGGCCAAATTACCTATTAAGAGTAAGAAATCAATCTGAGATGAATCAAATAAGACTTAAATTGAAAGTGGATAGCATGAATTAAATCTAAAACACAAATATAGCCTCTTAACTGTTAAAAACTAGTTACTTTGACATTTTTGGGAAAAACAGTAGGCAGAACACATTTAACCTCCATCCCTCTCAGAGCTATATTTAAATAATAGCAAAGTATATAGGGAGAAAGCATTGGAGAGGGATCAATAGCAATAAAACTTTGGAAGCTAAAAAGTAGACAGATGCCTGGTAACTGATCAGCACCTAACAACAGTTCCTAAACTGTCAGTATGAAAAACCCAGAAGAGAAGCACCTGGCTTGCAATATTGTAATCTTAAAAAGTTCAGGAAATGACACCTCTGGAAGGAGGAAGGGGATGTGTCTAAAACAGGAAGATTGGTTGAAAGAATGTTTAGTAGTTGATTATGCGCAACACTCATCCATATGCTGTCTCTACCGTTCCATACAATAGTGACTTCCCATCCCATCCTGGCAGAAAACTAGAGATTTATTTTCTAGAGCGGGTAAAGCAAGGTATCTGGACAGAGGAATCCCACATCGACTGTAGGCTATCCTATAAAAATCCTGGGGATTAAATGAAAGTTACATAATAAATGCTGAGATCTGCTCTTCTCTCTCAATCTTCTTACCCCTCACAGGCCCATACTCTCTAGAAAGAGAACAGAATCATATAAAATGATTTTTTTTTTTCTGAGGAATCTCACCACCCAAAGAGAAAAGACTGAAGATATTGATATTGGGGGTTCCTAAGCACAACATCCCCGTCATTTCACCTTTTATTGAAATCCATAGTTTACAAGCCATATCCACAAATAGAGTTTCCAGTCATCATTTAGTGTCTTATTTGTAAATAAAAGCAAAGAACCAAGGATCAGCAGGCATTTGTAGAAAGCAACCTATATGAACAGATCAACTGTACAGAGAGAAGAAAATTAGAAGGGATTACATTTGTAAAACAAGAACAGTATGCTACAAAAAAAGAAATAAAGAGGAAAGGAAGTATTCTTGGTAAAAAATACCATTTAAAATATCTAAAATATAAGAAAATTAGATGATCAGGCCATGAGGGCAATATATGAACAAAAAGTTCTAGAAAACAATGCAGAGAAAACAGAGGAAAGAAAATAATCAAAGAAATAAAAATGTTTTACAGAACTTAAGGACTTAAGTTTCCAAAATGGAACATGGCAAAGGCCTAAGAAGATTCTGCACAATGGATGGAAATGGACCCAGAGCAATGTCCATCATGAAACTTTATAATACTGGGGACAAAGAAACGATTCTATGAGCTTCCAGAAAGGAGAGGAAAAGATTTCTCAAAATCAAAATAGAATAAAAATTTTGAACTGCATTGGATACTTCAATATCAATACTAAAAATTCTAAGAGAAAATGATTTCCAACTAAGAATTTATATCTAGCAAAATTTAAAAATCAGATATAAAAACAGAATAAAAGCATTTTCAAATATGCAGGGATTAAAATAATTTACCTCTAATATACACTTTTTTAGAAGGCTACTGAAGAATGTGGTCCAGCAAAATCAGGGAGCAGACAAATGAAGAAAATAATCCTATATAATAAAAGGCTAATATGCAAATAGACCGAACGGTGGAACAACTGAACAACCGGTCGTTATGATGTGCGCTGACCACCAGGGGATGCGCACAGAACATGGCCGGCGTCGGCAGCAGGTGGCAAAGCACAGAACATGGCGGGCATCAACTGCGGCGGGATGGTGGAGCAGGTGAGTGGGGGCGCCAGACCAAGGCAGGGCACCAGTGGCTGTCATCAGGGCGAGCCTCTGGATGTTACTGAAAATTCTTTGCTCTCGAGAGCCACAGTCCCACCCAGCGCTCAAACCTGCTGCCAGTGCTGGCTCCGCTCACATCCGCTGCTGGCACCCAGCGCCGGCCCTGATCACTCAGCATTGTCAGGGCTTCTCCACCCCTCTGGCTCCTGAGGGGTGATCGGGGCAGCAGCTACTGCTCGCACCCGCTGATGGTGCCAGCCAACGCAGAGGATGGGCTGAGACCTGCCTTGTGCTCACCACAGCCTCGTGACCCACAGTTCCTTTCAAGGTGCATGAATTTGTGCACTAGGCCCCTAGTATCAAATAAAGAAGTAATTCCGCACAGGAATAAATAGAGAAAATCCCCAGGATAAGAGCTCTGCAGCAGACTGGATGAGCAACAGTCCCGACTGGAGTGGACCAAAGGCTACAGGGCAATTTTTTTTACATAGATTAAAACTAATAGAATGCTAATGTTTAAAGATATTGAGAGGAGCCCTGGCCGGTGTGGCTCAGTTGGTTGGGTGTTGTCACATGCACTGAAGGGTCACTGGTTCGATTCCCTGCCATGACACATGCCTGGGTTTCATGCTCAATCCCCAGTTATGGGATGCAGGAGGCAGCCAATCCATGTTTCTCTTTCACATTGATGTTTCTCTCTCTCTTTCTTCCTTTCCCTTCCTCTTTCTCTAAAATCAATAAAAATATATTTTTCAAAAATATTGAGAGAAAATTAAACCATCAGGGAAAAGTCTGAAGATAAACTATTAAAAATGATATATAGAAGAAAGAAAACATACCCATAGTATAGTGCACAGTTCTCCTGTAAATATTACAAACATGGTTCTAATAATATACATGGTGAATATTGATCAAGCCAAAATCAGTATAAGTTACTATAAAATTAATAAAGTATAACTATATCCATCCATCCATCCATGCATCCATCCATCCATGTACCCACCTACCTACCTATCACTTTGTTGGGAGAAGGGGAATTCAGAAAAGATCTAGGTGTGTGGGAGGGCAGAGGGGTGAAGGAGCTAAAATTTTATCTCCCACATTGGGAAGCCAAATGGTGACAGCTAAAATGATAAACAAACAGTAATACAAACCAAGAAGCAAGATAAACATGTAGCTGAGGGATTTGAGATAAATACTAAAAAGATCAGCTACAAGAAAAGGAAGCAGTTGCCTTTGGGGAATAAGGTTAGGGAACTGTTATATTTTGAAATGGCTATTTCTCCTCATTCAACTATGACCATATTGTGGCTTTGGTAGTAGTAAAAAAAAAATTAAAACAGGGGCATTTCAAAATTGAAAAATACCTATTGAAAGCTGATTTGAAAGCCCATTTTTGTATGTCTAAATTTTCTAAACAATAGTTATTCATCACACAATGAGACTGGAAGCTGTTAAGAACTTTAGCCTTGTATTTCAGTGCCTCAGAAAGTGGAAATGAAGCCCTCTCAAAATAAGGAGCTATAAATTCCAGATATGTTGCCATGGTAACTGAACCACTTTAATAAACTTCATGTTTGCCTAAAGAGCTATATTTACCATGATAAGCCTTTCAAAAAGTACATGGCAAGTTGGAGTATTTTTAAGGTACATTCATTTCCCATCCACTGCAGACTAATCACTGTACCCCAGCATCAGACGCATTCCGTGCCTCTTCATAAGAAACCATTTCAACCAGAAACTGCTGATGCCAAAACGCAAGCCCCCTACTCCTGACTCCTTCCAATCCACTGGTTACTATTAATTTTATAAAGTTCAATCATATTATGGGCTAAATAATCTCTTGGGATTAAATTTAGTAACTTAATCATCTTTGTGATATTGCTTCCTAGGAGAAAATGCATTTGGAGAACCAAAATAACTATGTACAAACATACTTTAGGATTATTTTAGGGTCGTAGGTTGGGATTACATAGATTTGCATCCTAAAACATACTATACATGCATTTTAACTATTCTGATTTTATTCTTTTTTTTTTTTATCCTCACCTGAGGATATTTTTTTCCATTGACTTTTAGAGTGGAAGGGAGAGAGAGGGACAGAGAGAAACACCTATGTGAGAGAGACACATCGATTTGTTGCCTCCCACATGCCCCCGACCAGGGTGGGAGCCTGCAACCGAGACATGTGCCCCTGACAGGAATCGAACCCAGGACCCTTCAGTCCACAGGCCGACGCTCTATCCACTGAACCAAACCAGCTAGGGCCTGATTTTATTCAGATTAAAACTATCACTTCATTGTCATGTTTTAAGTCATTTGAGCAGAAACTTGCTTTCAAACTATCTTAAGTGCACATTAAATGGAATGGCAGGTTCTATTAATGACAGTTTATGCTGGTTCATATTTTATAGAAGTAACAGAAAATGCATGTACTAACTATTCTATTTTATTTTATTG